TTATGAGACCGAGGGAGAGACTCTTAAGCAGGCTCCAAGATGGGGGGGCCTCAATCCCATGACCCTGCGGTCATGACCTGAGCTGAAGTCAAGAGTTGGATGCATAACTCCTGGATTGAGCCACCCAGGTGCCCCCCATACTGTTTTCTTCAAGTAAACTTTTTTTTTACCTGACAGATTGTGGACGCATTTCTAGTATATGCACATCTAAGTCATTCTTTTCAGTGATCACGTAGTATTCTTAGATGGGTTATGTCACTTGTTCCCTTACTCCGTTGGGTGCAGTTCTCATTTTGTTTTTTTCACGTTTTGCTTTATTTGCTCTATTTGCTTAATTTCTTGCTTTTTATTTAAAAAAAAAATCTGAAAATCTGAAAACTTCACTTTCTGCAAAGTTGAAAACATAGTTCACTAATCACTTATATACATTTTGCACATTTGCTTTCTTTTGCTAGAAAAATGCGTGTGTATTATACGAAATATGTTTTTTGAGCCATTTGGAAACAAGTTGCAGACATTATGATATTTTAGCCCTAAATACTTCTGAAATGTTTTTCTTGAAAGCAGGGGCTTTGGAGCTCCTGGGTGGCTCCGTTGGATAAGCATCCAGTTCTTGGTTTCGGCTCAGGTCATGGTCTCATAGTTCGTGGGCTTGAGCCCTAGCACAGAGCCTGCTTCAGGTCCTCTGTCTCCCTGTCTCTCTGACCCTCCCCTTCTCACGTGTGCGCTCTCTCTCTCTCTCTCAAAAATAAACATTTAAAACAAAGCCCAAGGACTCTCTCCTATAAATCATATTACTGTTATCATCCCTAAGAAATTTAAATTGATACAATAATGTTACATACTAAATACTTAATGCTGATACAGTATTCAGATATCCCCAGTTATATACCAGAGTGTCTTTTACAGCTCCTCCCCCATCCACCCTCCCAAGCAAACCAAGGTCCAGACAGGGATCATGCATTGCATTTTGGACTTCTTTTCTTAACCAATCATCCATTTTATTTTTCTTTCTTTCTTTCTTTTTCTTTTCTTTTCTTTTCTTTCTTTCTTTCTTTCTTTCTTTCTTTCTTTCTTTCTTTCTTTTTCTTTTCTTTCTTTCTTTTCTTTCTTTCTTTCTCTTTTCTTTCTTTTCTTTCTTTCTTTCTTTCTTTCTTTCTTTCTTTCTTTCTTTCTTTCTTTCAATTCTAAAACACACTCAGCTTATCATAAAACATTTGACGGTATTAAAAAGGGTATTAAGGTAAAAAGTTAAATTCTTGTCTCCCATGAGACTGTGTTAATAAGGCCTTTTTCGGTGTTTGTCTAAAAATACCTGGCAGTAGCTGTCGTGTAAAATCACCGCTTTTTGTGTGTTGAGGGTCGTGTGGAGTGCTGGGACCCAAGAACTCGCGGTAGAGTCGGTCTGCTGGACTGCGCACTGAGTAGCGTCACGGCGGATTCAGAGTAAGTGGGAATTGACGTACTTTTTAAATATCCATTTGCTGGGGCGCCTGGGTGGCGCAGTCGGTTAAGCGTCCGACTTCAGCCAGGTCACGATCTCGCGGTCCGCGAGTTCGAGCCCCGCGTCGGGCTCTGGGCTGATGGCTCGGAGCCTGGAGCCTGTTTCCGATTCTGTGTCTCCCTCTCTCTCTGCCCCTCCTCCGTTCATGCTCTGTCTCTCTCTGTCCCAAAAATAAATAAAAAACGTTGAAAAAAAATTTTTTTTAAATATCCATTTGCTTATGATTTAAACGCATGTGTCAATACCAGGTTAAAATCAGTAAAGGATGAAATTCTTCAGACTCATGTCTAAGGTTGTAGTTTTGTGACTATTTTATGTAAAAATCATTCTCTTGGAAAAGTTCACTAAGTGGGAAAGCCAGACAGAATTCCTTTCTCAGGTGCTACATGGAATGTCTTTTTTGTTAGTTGCTGTGGAATTGTATCAAAATTGATGCACTGGAGGAATTTGCATTTCCAGTTCTTTAGGGTCTAGTGATAGAACCGGGAGGTCGCCACTCCTGTCAGTAAGTGAAAAGGAAAGATGTACTTTGAGTTCTACCTTGGAGAGAGGCAAGTGTTTCTGAGATTTTCTTGTTCCTGTTTGCCAGTTGCTACGTTTATAACAATCAGAAAAGTAACACACTTGGGCGCTAAAAACTTCTAAATGCCTGAATTAAGTGAGAACTACAAGCCCCCTGTCCTTTCTTCACTCACCAGAGAGGTTACTGTTTGGTACATGTTTTCAGACATTTTTCTGAGCTCGCATTAGTATGCAGTCTTATACTCTCTTGGTCAGATTCTTAACATGGGATTATTTGCTATACTCGGTTCAGGAACTTCCTTTCTCTGGGCTCTTGATGTTTGCAGTAATGTAACTTTATTAGCGTTTATTCATTTCAGCTGGTCAAACGTTTACCTGTCTGTAGTTGTATCATGTGGGAGGTGGGGTGTTTGATGAGTGGGGTACAGAGAGAACATGGACCCTCTAAATATCTGCTGATTTTTGTGTCATTTGCGTTTTTCTGGGGGAGAGAAGAATTTATATAGTTGTATCTTAAAAAAATTTTTTTTTTATGTTTCTTTATTTACTTTTTGAGAGAGAGAAAGTATGGGGAGGGGCAGAGAGAGGGAGACACAGAATCCAAACCAGGCTCCAGGCTCTGAGCTGTCAGCACAGAGCCCGACATGGGGCTTGAACTCATGAACCTGTGAGATCACGACCTGAGTAGAGGTCAGACGTTTAAGTGAGCCACCCAGGCAACCCTGTATAGTTCCGTCTTTTGAAAAATCAGCTTATGTAAAGCTTGACTTGGAGAAAAGTTAAGAATCACTGATCTGGAAAGACGTCTTTTTCTAATATATATTTTTCCTGATATAAGTAAAGAATAAGTTGATTTTTTTTTCATCTGTTAATCATGACACTTAAAGGGAGTATAGGAAATTTTTGCCCTCTTGCTGAGTTTTATTAAAGTAATACTAATGAACAACTTCACCGATCACAATATGGAGTATAGTAGAGAATTTTAAAGTGGAAAATTCACTCATTTTATATTCATTTTTTTCTTAGAATCAGACATTTTTGTTGTGAATTATAACACACATACAGAAAATCTCTAAACATTAACACACAGGTTACTGAATTACTGTGAAGCTCTGTTTGTCAATGGAAGGAACCAACAAAAATGCTTCTCAACATTTCATTATATTGGTATGAAAGAAAACGAATCCAATACCTGCTTATTTTTAGAAAGTAGGGAGTCAGTTGTAAGAGAAAGCTATTTACCCACTCCCTAGGAAGCAGAAAAGTTAATTTTCTCTTACTCATAAACATTAACTTGTCTTTGAATTAAAATGGAGAGACTTGGTTTCTATTTATAAGTTCTGTCATCGACGATTTCTTCTTAGAAAAGTCATTTGAGGAAACAGGCCAGCGTTCTTTGTATTATGATTATGTCTTAAGGTTGTTTTTGCTTTAAATTTATGACTGTAATAGAAGTGAACATAGAAAATTTAAAGAAGGGATATGAAAAGATAATCTCTCCTGTGGTCTTTAGAAATACTCTTTTTTTTTTTTAAATAGAATATTGATTCACAAATAGTTTTTAGTGGCTTCGTTTGCCCTTGGTGGCAAAAAAAACATTTTTTTTTTTTTTTTTTAATGTTTGTTTATTTTTGAGACAGAGAGAGAGCATGAACAGGGGAAGGTCAGAGAGGAAGACACAGAATCTGAAGCAGGCTCCGGGCTCTGAGCTGTCAGGACAGGGCCCTATGCGAGGCTTGAACTCATGCTGTGAGATCATGACCTGACCTAAGTTGGACGCTCAACCGACTGAGCCACCCAGGCACCCCCTGATGCAATGATTTTTTTTTAAACATAAGGATAGAAGTGTGATTTCCCCTTTAGAATTGAAGATTAATAAGGGCATCTATGTGGCCCAGTTGGTTAAGCATCCAGCTTCAGCTCAGGTCATGACCTCCCGGTTCATGAATTTGAGGCCTGCATTGGGCTCTCTGCTGTCCGCACGGAGCCCACTTCGGATCCTCTGTCCCCGTTTCTCTCTGCCCTTCCCCTGCTCTTTCTCTCTCTCAATAAGTAAATAAAAACTTCCAAAAAAGAGAATTGCAGATTAATAACGACTTTTTACTTGGAAAGTTTGACCATATATATATGGAACATGAATATTTTGCCTTTCAGGATAAACAGTTTACCAACAATCTCTGCTTTGAAATTTAACGGAGCCTTGACCATGGCAGTTGGAACATCTACCGGGCAGGTAAACGTGTTTAAATTGAGAACTTCATACTTCACATTAGTATCTCAGAGACATGTATGTATTCTGGGAGATACTTTCTGTTCACTGTGGGAACAGGAAATGAGGCATTCTTGTTTTGGCCAGAGTGGAGTGGGTTCTCCAGAATCCTCTGTTTTAGTACCTTGAGAAATTCTGATTCTGGCCTTCGCGGTGGGTCTGAGGGGCTGTCGAGCTGGAGGTACCGTGTGGGTATGCCTCAGGCATTCTCTTGACTGTGGTTTAGAACATGTTCCAGAGTGTGTGGAACAGAATTCTGTGGTCTACAGAATCTGGAATTCTGCCAGACTCCTGCTCTTGGAGGCTCACGTGCTTTTCAATATGTATTGAAGGCTCTGAGATTCCCCTAGACAAGAAATGTGTTTAACAAGTATTTCCAAAACTTATTTGTACAAGGAACCTTTTTTCTCTCTGAGCACCACTGACCACATCCCAGGCAGTAACACACCTTAGCAGAGCTAGTCTGACAGGGATGGGTTGAGCGGCTACAGAGGGTTAATTTCATCCTTTCTTTCTTCCCTTCTTTACTTCAAGGCAGAATTCACACACTTGTAAGTTTGTTCTCCAGAGCGGGTCTGGACCCTGCTTCCAGTGGAGTTCACCTCTGTCATCAGGGTCTGCAGAGGATCTGTCACCAGGGACTGGCGGCTAGCTTCCCCAGCCCTCTTGCCTCTAGTGACAAGGCTCAGAAGAGACCTGCCCTGCCCACCCACTCCCCTCCCCTCCCCTCCCCCAACAGTCCTAACCTTGCCACCCCGATCTGTCGCAGATCTGCCAGGATCGTCTTCACTAAGCCTTTTATTCTTATTTCTGTCAGTTGCTGCCACAGCGCTTGGTACTTAGTAGGCCCTCCGCATATATATTTGGTTTGGTTCACAAATGGCACAAATTCTTACGAATTTTCCTTTTTGTTCCTTTCTTAATATAGCTCAGTAGTTCTCAATCTTAGTGTGCCAGAAACTTACTTTCCAGTTAAATCAAACCATGTACTTTGGGGCACCTGGGTGGCTCAGTCGGTTGAGCGTCTGACTTCGGCTCAGGTCATGATCTCATGGTTCGTGTGTTCGAGTCCCACGTCGGGCTCTGTGCTGACAGCTCGGAGCCTGGAGCCCGCTTCGGATTCTGTGGCTCCCCACCCCCCCCCACTCTCTCTCTGCCCCTCCCCTGCTTGTGCTCTGTCTCTCTCTCAAGGATGAATAAACATTAAAAAAAAATTGAACGAAAAAACCGTGTACTCTACAGGTAAACTTAAGAGATTTTTCTGGAGTATTTTTGCTGTCTGACTTTAAAATCTTTGTGCCCTTTGGGGTGCCTGGGTGGCTCAGTCGGTTGAGCGTCCGGCTTTGGCTCAGGTCATGATCTCACGGTTTGTGAGTTTGAGCCCCGTGTCGGGCTCTGTGCTGACAGCTCAGAGCCTGGAGTCTGTTTCGGATTCTGTGTCTCCCTCTCTCTCTGCTCCTCCCCTGCTCGTGCTCTGTCTCTCTCTCTCTCTCTCTCAAAAATAAATAAACATTAAAAAAATTAAAAAAAAAAAATCTTTGTGCCCTAAGTGTTCACTGTGCTCATAAAAAGGCAGTGAAACAAATAGTAGCCATTATTCAAAGTTTACAAAGTTGCTTTTTAAGATCAATATGTTTAATTTGTTGAAACAGAAATAACTTGTTTTCTTTTTTTTTTAGGTTTTATTATATGATCTTCGATCAGATAAGCCATTGCTGGTTAAGGATCACCAGTACGGGCTGCCCATTAAGTCACTTCATTTCCAGGATTCATTAGATTTGATTTTGTCTGCAGACTCACGAATCGTCAAAATGTGGAACAAGAACTCAGTATGTACTTTTTTGTTGACATAACTTATTAGTGTATTTTCCTGAGGATTTTTTTCTTTCTGTTGCCCGTTTTGAGTTACGTGGGCTCTTGAGAAAGATGCCGAGTCCCTGTTTGGGAACTTAGCTGGGAGACAGGTACTTCAGCAGAGCTAATGTTCCCACTGAGGTAAAGTAGTCCAGACTGCCTTCTTCCTGCTACGAAGTTTTCCCGGTTTGCTAGAACTGGCATGCCTTTTGCTTGGGTTCGTAAATCACGTTTAAAACCGTGTTTGCTTGGGTAGCGTAAATCACGTTTTAAAAACATCGCCCCATGAGAACCTCCTAGATCCTGAGGCTCTCTCACAGCCTTGGGAAAGTTTTTATGAGCAACTAATTATCTTTCCATGTCAGTGTTATTATGTATTTCAGTTTCATACCTCTTAAAACCAATCTCAAAAGAATTGGCTTTTGGAAATGACCCCTTCACGGTAATTCCTTAGAGTGTTTTTTTAAGAAGCAGTATTTTCTTAAAACTATCTGTTGTTCTTTCCCCTCAGTTCCAAGTAACAGTGAAAAAGTAAAAGTAACAAAAGCCCACATTTCTGGTTTTCGTCTGCCTTGTGCTTTTCGTCTTTCATTTTAAAACTTGGGAGAAACTAGTGAAAGGTTAGTTCGTCTGCAAACTGGGAGAAAATGTATTCAGTATAGCAGTTGCTTTTAAGAGCTCTTTGCGTTTAATTAGTTACAGACTTTCGTGTCTTGAGTCAAAAAGCGTTACTTCCTTTTTATTTTTTTAACTCGTTTTTGAGGTGAAGAGGGTGCAGGGTCCAGAGGCCACAGTGTTAGCGCCAAAGGACAGGCCCGGCCTGTGCCCGACACCGCGGCCCGCGACGCGACCTCATCACCCCTCCGCTACGCCCTGGGGTTCCTGGCCGCTTGGATCATAACTTCTGTGTCCACTCTTCATTTGGCTAACTCGCAGAGTATTGACCGTTCCTAGCTCTGTCTCGAATTAGAATTTGGCTGCAGCTTTTCACCGAGCGTGCGGGAGCCGTCCTCCCCGTGCCTTAACTGTCCCTTCTCCTTTGCCCTGGGAGCCTCTCGTAGCGAGTTAATAAACGTGAGAGCTGGCAGACATTTTCAACACCAGCGCTTGAAATTATCCCGCCGTCGTTGCTGCAATAAGTTTTATTTTGGCGTTGTTGTTATGACTAAATACGCCCTCTTGACCAACACCCAGATTACTTGGTTTTGCTTGACTTGCTTTTCCTTGTTTATCTTTCTCATCACCTTTTCCCATTCCCATCTTCTCCTCTCTTTTGTTTCTTTTACTTTCCCTCTCTTAATTTAAAAGATAGCACGTTCCTCCCCTCTCTCCCATTGAAAATAGAAGCGTGGTAGTCTTTCCTGTGTAAGTAACTCATTGCGTATTTACAGGATTTCGTTTTGTAAGTTATCATTTATACCCATTGTCTTCCTTGATCCTCCTCAAGGCCTTATGGTGTATAGATGGCAGAAAGTGTCTTCGTCCTGCCGAGTTGACTCCCTCCCAGTCTTTGGTTTCTTTGAGTACGGCTTTAACTGGGGATTACGAGTTCGACGAGTTTAACTCCAGATTATGAGAGTTTTTCTGAGTTGATGCACAACTTTATCTTAAACTTTACCCATTGCCGCTATGAAGACATTATCTGCGAAACTGTATTTATTTCCTTGGTTAAGTCGCTTTTCCCCCCATTCGCCTCAGTTTCTTTGTTTCTAAAGTGAAAGCATTTGATAAATTGATAAAATGAGCTCTCTACCGTAGTTTAAATTCTTTACTTTCAATCAGGTGATTTTATTTCTTTACACAGTACCATTTACACATAACCACATGGCTATGTCATACCCCCAGTTTATTTTCTTTACTCAGCATTGCCAAAAGTTTAACTGTTTTAATAATTCCTTTTTGCCTATTCTTTTAGGGAAAAATATTTACTTCCTTGGAACCAGAACACGACATTAATGATGTCTGCCTCTATCCCAACTCAGGTATGCGGTATGTAGCGATGGGTCGTTCAGTGAGATAAATCTGAGTTGTGCTTTATTGGGTTTTAAACACATTTCATTTCATTTGTTAAGACGGGGTTTGGCTTGGTCAGGACTGTTCTTGGATATTGTATTTACTGGAAGAATCAAGAGCAGGAAGTGGTGTGGATGATTCAGAAAATGGCACTCTCAGTGACTCAGCCCGTAGCCAGCCTAGCTATTAGTAGAAACTGGTAACAATATATAGGTAGGTGGCAGGTGAGATGCTATTTTAGTGTGCTCTTCACCCTTTTATGTGATTAGTAATAGCGTGTGGAAATTGAGGTTAGAGGTTTGAAGAAGGCTGGGATTGCCCGATAACCCACGAGGCTCATGAAGCCAGGGGTTTTGGTATCTTCTGTATTGTATGCTGTTTTGCGGATTACATCGTGGATTTCAAGATTGTACAATACATTTGAGACAAATCGGTGAAGAATTTGGGGGCAGGAAAGAAAATGGGGATAGTTCCACTCTCAAGCAGTGTTGCGTTCTGAGGACAGACACAGCCCATTTTGACAGACGGATGCAAGGCAGAGCAGGAGAGACCTGTCATGTGTGTACAAACAGCACTTCGCCAGCGTGTTAGAGAAAGGCTCAGCCAGAGCAACTGGGGAGGGGAGGTGCCGGAGGAGATGTTTGTTCAGGTGTGTTTGGAGTGGTGAGTGAGATTCGGTAGGTGGGGTGGCGAGATGAGGCGCATCCCTGTGAGGGAGCAGTGTGAGAACGGCAAGAAGGATAGACTGTGGCAGATGCAGCGGGGTCCCATTGGTGGGGCTCGTTTGGGAAAGCGATGGAGTCTTAGTGCCAGAGCCCTGGCGGCTCTCCTGGGAACCAAGGTGGAGGAGGTCCGGGACTGATGTGCTGAATGATCTGGGCTCGGTCTGTAGTCGGGACCTGTTCAGATTGTGCTGTCCGTCCTCTAAAAGGTACATCGGTTTTGAACCAAAGTTAGTAGGAGGGGATGCTCTGAGCTGATTGAGAACATAGGAGACAGAGCAGGTTTAGAGAGATTGTTTTCTTTTTTGAACATTTGAATATTGTTAGGAGGCGACGGGACAGTGACAGTGTCTGGCAGAGGGTCTCAAACCTGGCCGCTGTCAGTATCACCCAGGGAGCTTTTTAAAAAGGACAGGTTCCTTGGCCCAGTCCCAGACGTACCGAGAGTATCTGGGCGGAGGGCCCAGAAGCATGTTTCCCAAGTGCTCGTGAGGCCCTGCCCTGCCCCACCACCTCGCAGCGGGAGCCAAGTCAGGTGCACGTAGAAAGTGCCGTCTCAAGAGAAGCAGGTCTGCGGTTGCAAAGTGTGGAGGCCTGTAAACAGAGCGTCTTTCAGAGGTGGGAGTGCGTGAGATCACCATGGGAATGTGTACACAGTAGGACCCGAGTCCGCCTCAGCGGGGATTGAGGAGAAGGAGGTGCCAGCTGAGAAACTTAACAGGAACAGACAGAATGGCAATGAAAGGAGTGACAGGGGCGCCTGGGTGGCGCAGTCGGTTAAGCGTCCGACTTCAGCCAGGTCACGATCTCGCGGTCCGTGAGTTCGAGCCCCGCGTCGGGCTCTGGGCTGATGGCTCGGAGCCTGGAGCCTGTTTCCGATGCTGTGTCTCCCTCTCTCTCTGCCCCTCCCCCATTCATGCGCTGTCTCTCTCTGTCCCAAAAAAATAAGTAAACGTTAAAAAAAAAAATTAAAAAAAAAAAGGAGTGACAGATTCCGAAGTAGAGCAGAAGCTAAGGCACAAGCGATCCAGTGGTCCCTGCTCGGCAAGCTTGAGGGTGACTGAGGTTGAGGCGGGAAGGAGAGAACAAGTTCTTAATGCTCCTGTGCTTCCGGGCTCGGTGATGACCACGCATCATTTAATCTTTCCAGAACCCTGTGTAGTCAGTGGCACACACGTTTTTTCCTTTTTTCTTGTCTGTCTGTCTCACGTCTTAGGAGGTGAGAACTGTTGAGCTGTTGGGCCGGAGTTGGTGGCTCAGCTGGCTGTGGCAGGGCCTCGGGTAGAGCCAGCCTTTCCTGGTTCTGGACCCCATGCCCTTTCTAGTTACGTGCTGCTGTCCCGAGAAGGATGAGGCGCTGTGTGTCTGTGGTCACGGAGAGGGTCTTGTTGCAGTGGTGGGGTGACGTCCAGTGCGGACGAGTTCAGGAATAAATTGCAGATGAGGATGTTGGGGTCCCCGTTAGAGAGTATCAGACGGTCCGAAACCGGGTCTGAGCTGCCCACGAGGAGGAGTAAAGTCAGGTGGCGCTGAGGTTGGCACGAGGCTGGTGAGCGGGCGGCTGGGTTAAGGGGTGAGAGGATTTTTTTTTTTTAATGTTGATTTTATTATTTTTGGAAGGGCAGGCGAGCCCGGGAGGGGCAGAGAGAGAGGGAGACAGAGGATCCGAGGCGGGCTCTGCGCTGACAGCAGAGAGCCCGACGTGGGGCTTCAGCTCACGAAGCGTGAGACGGTGACCTGAGCCAAAGTCGGACGCTTAACCCGACTGAGCCACCCTGGTGCCCCTGGGGGGTGAGAGTTTGAAGGGCAGCTAGTGCTGAGAGACGGAAGCCGCATGGTCACGTGTGGCCGCGTGTGGCCCTTGAGACCTGGCAGGGTGACCGACTTGAACTGAGTGAGGTGTGCTCTGAGCGTAAACTACCCGCCAGGTTTCGAAGACATCGTGGAGACAAATCACGCGAAATAGACCTTTAATTTTTTATGTCAGTTACATATTGAAATGGAAACGTTTGGGGCATACTGGCTTAATAAGATACATTAAAATATGTTTTGCCTACTTTTGAAATAGTTTTTTTAAAATCTGTCTAGTAGAAAATGTGAAATCACACGTGAGCCTCGCACGATATTTCTGTTGCACGGCTCTGGCCCAGACTTGGGGATCTGGCCCAGTGTAGGGCGCAGCTTTGGCGCGAGGGAGCTATGGAAGTCCACCGAGGGCGTGCGGCGTCTGTGTCGTCAGAGGGACTGAGGACCGCCAGCCCGTCTAATGCCTCTCGGTCTCCAGTATTGTCTTACTTCCGGTCCATTCCTGCGTTTCCCCGCTTGTCCCTCAGATGCCGTTTGTAGCGCCTTGTTTGGAACCAGGCCGTAATCAAGGTTGTGTGTTACGCTGAGCTGGGGCCATCTTTAGTTTCTTTCAGTTTGCAAGAGTCGTGTCCCCCCACCCGTCCTTTCTTTGTTTTGTTTTGTTTTCTTTGATTTTTCCAAGATCAGGGCAGTAGTCGCATAGAATGTCCCTCACCCTGGATTCGTGTGGCTAGCTGTCATAATGTCATTGACCTTGTGCCTCCAGCCCGTGTATTTTATCTCAGATAGAAGTTAAATCTGACCGTGACGCACCGTAGGTGAGATATTGTGGCCACGAGGAATGCTGGGTCCCCTGTGTCAGACCCCTTCCCAGAAGCATCCAGGGCCAGGGAGGGGCAGCGTGGTCCCTGGGTTAAGGTGACCACCGGGTCTCCCCATTGCGAAATGTACTTTCCTGGGAGGTAAACATTGTAAGAGTGATGTTTCGAACAGAAGGACAGCTTCACTGTCAAGTAACTTGTAAGAAGCGAATCAAACACAAAAAGTAGCCAAATGGTTTGTTCCCTGAGCTTTGCAAGCACAGTGAGACCAGGGCCTCGGCTGCCGTGGGGGTTGCGTGTGAGTGGGTGTGATTCACGCGCTGTGCTGCTCTCCCCTGCTCTGTTCCTCTTCCCTTTGACGCCGCTCTTGATGCCTTATGCTTAATCATCAGGCGCTTAATCATATTTTAGAAAAGCTAAAACGTCCTTCTTTCTTTATCTTCTCACTTACTCATTTTGAAGTAATTAGAGCCGAATCACGGTTACTGTTTTGTAATGTTTTTCTAATACGAAGATTGCTCAGAATATTGAGAAATGGCTCCGCCTTCCTGGCTGCTGTTTTGTTCCTGCTCTTGCTCACTCGGCCGACTCCGGCGTCTCTGCGCTGGGTGCCTGCCCTGCAGGTCGGCTCCGTGACGGCGCGTTGGCGTGGCGCGGCGCCTGTCGGGCTCATGGGTGTCTGAGCCCCGCCGCCGCTGGGACCCGGGATCGCTGGGTTCGAATCGCTGCTACAGAGAAAAGAAGATGGGCTTTCGACTCGGAAAGACTGAATTCAGGCTGAATGATCGTGTAAAGCACCCAGTGTGGTTTCCCCAGCCGCCTTCCAGGCCCCTGCAGATGGCCTTCCCCGTTCAGTGTGCAGTCGCCTTCCCATCTGTGGCAAATGTCCTCTCCCAACACGGGAAACAGCAGCTCGAGCCATGTGGAAACATCCTGGGTGCCCTGTACGGTAAAATCCCAAGCTCCATAGTCACATCCGCGGTTGAGCACATGGAAGAAATGTCCTGGCCTTTCCTCCCTGACACAGTTCTGTTCTCACAGGTGCTCTGCTCTGAGCTGTTCAAGGCGGTGACCGCTGCTGTACGTTTCAGCGCAGATGTTTCTGACGGCGGAGATTGTGTTTAAATTTCTAATCCGTTTCAGACCGGATACTTTTGTAAAACGTAGTAAAAAGACGTTACAAGGGAAAGGAGCACACGTGGGGATCTGCCTGCAATGTCGCATTGCTGTACAGCTTTCTGAATTCTTCCTTTCCGCCTCTACACTCAGCGCCTGGCCGGGGGCCAGTCTGCAGGGCGGCCCTGGGAGTGGAGTCAGTAGCACTGGCAGAGAGCATCCAGTCTGGGCTTCGGTGAACCCTTTGGCCTCTGAAGCACGTGCACAGGAGAATCCAGATGTTCACGCTTCCTGGGAGGGGGCTGCTGATCCATCCCATCCTCTCTGGCCGCCCTGTTCGGCCACACAGGACACTGGATACGTCATTCTGCAGTGCTGTTTCAGACTGGATGTGTGTTCTTTTGACTCTAGGCACTATTGAGCTCTTCCTTCTCTTTTAAAATTTTTACTGTCGGGGTGCTTAAGTGGCGCAGTCGGTTAAATGTCTGATGTCAGCTCAGGGTATGATCTCGCGGTCTGTGAGTTCGAGCCCCGCGTCGGGCTCTTGCCGACAGCTCGGAGCCTGGAGCCTGCTTCCGATTCTGTGTCTCCCTCCCTCTCTGTCCCTCCCCCGCTCACACTTTGTCTTTGTGTCTCAAAAATGAATAAATGTTTAAAAGAATTTTTTTAATTGGTATTGTCATTTTAATAAGCGTCACTATAAAGGAAACTTAAAGGAAAAATCATTCATAAGCCCACAGTCTCTTCACGAGTACCATTACAATTTCCGTGAGAGAAGTTCTCGTATTAATCTCATGTTTGTATGTTTTCAATCATTGACCTCATGCTGTGTGTATAGTTGTCTTTTGCTTTCCAGTTGACGTGATATTAACATTTTTCCTGTTGCTATATGGTGTTTATATTTGCACTTCTGAAATTTTTATTATTTGACCCCGCAAGAAGCCTTTTCATTTTATCTTAGTTGTTACTGTGGTTTTAGAGTCCTGCGTTGCACGGGCTTTGGAGTCCGTAGAATATCAGCTACCCTCCTTCCTAGCTATGTGGTGACCTTGAGCAAATTAATTTTGTGAGGCCACACTGTTAATCTGGAAATAAAGTTCTCCTCTCTTGCCCATGATCATGTTAATTTCTGCTGAACTTGCTTTCACTAGTTTTTTTTTTTCCTTCTTGTTCTTGGGCTTTGTTGAGGTTGCCGGTTTCTCTCGTTCATGATCGGTTTTAGTCCTGACCTTCCCCGGTTTAGTTCGGTGGTAAGTCAGCTGCTATCATTGTCCATATACGGCCAAGAAAGATCGTATTCCATGTGGAAAACAATCCGCCGTGTCCAGTCTGGGTTCTTGAGAGCCATTAGATTAGAGCCCTCTCTGTGGTTTGGTGGGTAGGTGTGATTGTGTTTCCTTGTGGAATGCTCACTGCCGAATGATCCGTGTTCAGAGTCAAGCCAGTGAAGCCAGGCTTGGGGAGTATGTTTGGCAAGAACCTTCTTTCTGGTGGTAATCTGGCTCCTCAGTCCCCAGAACAGCAACTCCCACCGTGTCTAAAGGACGTGGGAGGTTTGGCTCTAAAATTCTCTGGCTTGTGACAAGGGCACTCAGTCCCGCTGAACTTTTTTTTTGATCTGCAAAATGAGGATGCTGTTATTATTTCAGAGATTTTTTGCATGTGCACCAAGATAGTATCTGCGAAGGCGCTTACCAGGTTGTAAGGAACTCCCCAGACGGTGGCTGATTTCAGCTGCATCGAAAGTGCCGTCATTCTGGAACAGGGGCTGTGAGCACTGGAGCCGCCTCAGGAGGCTTGCAGGGAGGACTAGGCCGCAGGCGGCAGAGGGCAGGGAACAAAGCCTGGGACATGTGCGCCCTGGTGCTGTGCCACAGAGTGACGGGGTCCTGGGGTAACAGGGGTGCCATCATTGAATGCCAGGAAGTTTGCCCATCCGTCAGCTCTGCTTTCTTAAACTGTGCATCCCGGGAAGACTAAATGATTAACCACTCTGTTAGTTGAGGCCGTGAGGTTCCCTGACGACGGAATTATTGGGGAGAGTAAGGGCTGTGAGACCCTGGAGAGGTCTTTGCTGGTGTAGCTGCACACAGCACCCGCTCAAGTCAGTCCCTTGGTTTTCCACTCAGACGTGAGGTTTAACGCAAACCTTAGGAACTACTTTGCCGTGGTGTTTGTGGGAGATGCTTTGCCTTGGTTCTTGGATTCCTGATTAACAGAAAGAAGCCTTTGTTCTTAATTTCTTCAGTTTATTATCGTAAATGGTGTACCAGAACTACATTTTGTCCACGTACTTAAAGCTGAAACTTGTACTGAAAGCTGAAAACCCCTCGGAGGATGATGGCAGGCTCTACGTAGGCCTGAGCACCCGACGGTGGGAACTGCTCGTGTACTTGGCTGGAATGTTTCGCCGATGGGGTTGTTGTAAAGAACTTCACGGTACTTCAGGTGCCCCATCTAGGAGGGCCGGGGACGGAAGCCCATGACCCACCTGGTTTCCGGGTCCGGCTCTTCGCCACGCACCGTCTTCTGGGCACCTGGAGCACCGGTCCATAGTGTAAAACAACTAGAAAAGGGCACCTTCCTTTTCCCCGCCTGTTTACCCTTCTCGTTGTGCTTATTTTTAGGAATGCTTCTTACTGCCAATGAAACCCCCAAGATGGGCATCTATTACATTCCGGTAAGTAATACAAATAGGAGTTACGGTAAAAATAGGACAAGCAAAGGTAGTTTATTTTTAAACTGGGTGTACTGAGGGCCTTCGGGTCTGCCTGCGGCTGCGTAAATTAAACACAGCGGGCTCACGGGTAGCTTCGCTTTGCTTCCTGGAGGTGGGAAAAGAATGCTTAACCGTCGTTTTCTGGGAAACTGCTTAATACCCCACTAAAGTAGACATTAAGAGTTAGTCTTTGTTCTTCAGATTTACATTTGGATTTTGTTTCCAAGTATTTCGGAATCTTGAACTTTAAGCCGTTAGCGATCAGGAGGCCTGATTCTGAACCAACAGCCTGGTGCTCTTAAGTTGCGTCATTTCTCTTACAAACAAGTCACACCTAAGAAACCTGTCTCAGGTGGACCTGCTTGGTGCTGGCACACAGCCAGTCCTGGCCCTTTGTTCTTCCTTAAAGAATTCTTCTCTTGCATATGACGGAAGCTTCCCTAACTTTACGTTTCAGATTATAGTAAGAAAGAGACGGGGAAGAGGGTCCCCTACACAGAAAACAGCATAGTACAGAGCTGGCACTCGATCACTTTATGGCCGACGAACAGCTCCGTTTCTGAGATTTGGGGAGAGGACGGGAGGGGTGAGGAGTGTTCCAGAGCAAGACTTTAGGGACGTGAATTCTGTAACTGCTGGCAGCCTCCATTTCAGAACGTTCTTCATATTTACTGTGGTTCTTTTGAAATAGCTTAACGGTGTATGTATTTCCCCCAAAAAAGTATTCTGGTGGATGTCAACTTTTTGTGGTTTCAGGAAACCAGTAAGTTGTTGAAAGCACTTTGAGGTACTCTTGGTTGTTAGTGAAACAGGCCATTCCAGCGGCAAACTTGTCTAAGTTGTCCTTCGTTCCATTTTCCCTGGTTGCTCAGACGCCGCTTCTGTCTTCCTGTCAGTTTATCCCTCTTTCCTTGTCTTCGTGTGGTCAGGGAATACATTCATCGATTGCATCAACTGTGCGTCCGGCCCCATCTAGACGCTGGCAGTGTCACGGGGTGTGGAGCGCTATCCCCTCCCTCAAGCAGTCCCTTGGCAGGGAATGAAGAGAGGCAGTCCAGCGTGAGGGACACCGTAACGGGACGAAGGAGGGTGCTCTGGGGCTCGGGAGGGGAGGCGCACCACCCAGCCTGGGGCTGGGAGCTGACGGGGGGCACAGAGGGTACCGAGAAACCTGCCCGCGGGGCGGACTTCCCAGGAGAGACCTGGGGAATGGTGACGTCCACGGGAAGGAGAGGGTGGGGTGCAGAGTGCGAGAGAGGTCTTGGAAGTGGAGGGAACGCTGTGCAGACATCAGGGAGAAAGTCCCCCACGTGGCCGAGCCACAGAGAGAGAGGGGTCGGGGTCAGGAGCCCGGGGGCGTCTGGTAAGCCCGGTGGGCGTGTCGGCGGGGAGTCCTAGACAGGCATTAAGTGGGGGAGTGATGGGATCAGATTTGCATCTGGGGAGGATTATCTTGGCTGCCACTAGGACAGTGGCTTAGACAGGGTCTAGTAAGATGACACCATAGCCACGTGCAGGAGCGACGACGGTGCCCGCGTTACCTGGGCCGGGCTTCCCTTCTCAGGGGTCGCAGCCTTTTGGGTTCTGGGATCTGAGAGGAGTCTGAACAGGCAGGCGGTCATTTCAGAGGCTTGTTGTCCTTGCGTTGCCGCACGGCGTGTCTCAGAGGTGTCTGCTGACGAGGGCTCGTGTAGATCACAAGAGATGCCTTGCCTGGGTCCCGCATGACGTCGTCTTCCAGACAGAATAACATCCGCTCAGCCCCTAAACCTTACTTCTCGTCCCGAGAGAGGTCCTCTTTGGAGTGCTTACTGTGCTTTGGCCTTTAGCACTTGCCCGGAAGGTGTTGATGTCCCGTATACTAGAGGCATTTCCGTGTCAACTGTATGGAGACTCAACCAGTGGAGGGGGACAGAGGTCTAAGACGGAGCATGGATGGCTGCATCAGGAGGCCTGCAGAAAGGGTCAGGAGCTGCAGGCCGCAGAGCCCTTTAGTGTAGACGCAGGAGGGGCGGTCCTGAGCGCTCGTGCAGTAAGACCACCTTCCTGGTTTGTGCGCCGCTGGGGGTGGTGGGGAAGAATTGGAAGATAGCGCGTAGCAATTGACGGGACGTAGGGAGTCAGGAAGAGGGAAAAGCGAAGACGGCAGCCCTGTTTCTGCTTGGGTAAGTGTGTAGATGAGGAAAAGGTTGGGGGATATTAAAAATTATTCTCCCTTTGAGGGGGGCGCCCGGGTGGCTCAGTCAGTTTAGCGTCCGACTCTTGGTTCTGGCTCAGATCGTGATCCACGGTTCATGAGTTCGAGCCCCCACGTCAGGCTGTGTACTGACAGTGCAGAGCCTGCTTGGGATTCTCTCTTTCCCTCTGCCCCTCCCTTGCTCATGTACGCACGCTCTCTTTTCCTCTGTCTCTGAAAATAAACTTAAAATTATTTTCCCCTTGGTACGTGTTGTATGCTTTATAAAGTGATCTTTAAAAGGAACGGCGCACCGTTTTTTTTTTTTTATTAGACAATGAATGAATGTTTCTATTTATGCTAAGTGTTTTACAAAGTATAAGGAAGTAACAACCACCCCTTCTCTCTTTGTAATATTATAAATGTTGGTAATATTGAGATGCAATAACTTTTAGTTATGATGCTATTGGTGTGAAGTCCTATTTTATATAAACATCTGCATCCTGGTTTCTTGAATTCACTTCAGAAGTATTAATTCCAAGGCATTAAAATTACCTACAACATTTTGAGTTGTCTCCATTGTTTTTCCTTTTACTTTAATTGCAGCGTAGTTAACACACTGTTACATTAGTTTCAGGTGGACAGTATAGTGATTCAGCAGTTTCACACATTATACTCCGTGTTCATCACAAGTGTACCCTCAGTCCCCTTCACCTGTTTCACCCATCCCCTGCACCCCTCCGGCCCCGTCATCTCCACTGTTTTTCATTGCCTGGCCTGTGACATTTGTATCGTCTTAGAACTAGAGGAGACCCATTATTCACTTCTCTGTACCTCATTCTTGGGGTGGGCTTTTCTGTTCCAAGTAACGGGGGTTTTAATTAGCTTGAATGATAGGGGCCAGTACCAACGAGGGGGTGAGAAACTGCCTTCTTGACAAATGTTAGTCTCTCTTCTAAGAGCTTTTTAGTTTCAGCTTTGTAACGCAGAGTTAACAGAAGCCAGGAAAAAGCCCGTAGGGACCATCCGCTCAGGGTGACCGCAGTGACAGCGGGTGCACGTCCTTCTTGCGCAGCTAAGCTCAGTGCTGGGACTTGTACTTGGCGCTCCTTCCCGACCTGCCTTTCTACCCTGCGCTGCCTGGTGTTTTACAGCGCCCTTGTCTTCACTTGGAAGATTCCGTCAGGGCAGGGAGAGAGCCCAGGGGTCTGAAAGCCTGCCATTTGTCATAAGGTTTTATCAGATTTACCAAACTGATCTTTGGCACAATGGTTTGAGGCCTATAAAAGCGGGGAAGTGTGTTTTTAATATATGATTCATGCCAAATTTAGGAGGTTTGGATTGCGATTCGTATTAATATCTTATAATAAATCAGGTATGAAAGCTCTTTTCCCCCGCTTTGGGCCTGTACTAAAAAGGAAGGCAGGTTAATGTTCTCTTAGCTTGTTAAGTTTTGCGTTTCTATCTGATACCATCTTTCTTGAATACTTGAAATCTTTATAGATTAAATGTAATTCCCGGTGTATACGCTGTGCCACATACAGAGCCCCTCAAGCAACTAATCTTTTACGGCCAAGGTTCCTGCAGTTCCTTCCCCATTTTCTTAGTATACCCCTTTCTTCCCTCTCAGAGGCCAGGAAGTATTATTTTGCTTGTTTGTTTGCATTTTAAATTCCAGGGTCTAATTCAACTGCAGCTCCTGAGACTAATGCCAGGAATAGTTTTTCAGGTTTGGTTTTCCCCTGAAATGGAATTTAATCTTAGGGTAGTTCTTTATAATTAAGCCTTTGGCCTCTGTGTAGACTCTAGAGGGAATCCGAGTCTCCTGTGGCACCCCTCCCGAAACCCAGCCAGTGTGGTTAATATTGTTTCTGTTGGAAATGACCCTGAGTTCCAAGCTCCCACTGTGTTAGGAGCTCCTGAAACCCCTCACGCCTGAATAGTTGATTACTTGTAAGCTCGAGGATATATATATGGATGTGTAATCTTGAGGGAAAATGTAAGGGGAGGACACGTTATTATTTGTTCAGGAAGCTATGTGATTTAGAAGAATAAACGCCAAAAATGTAATTTTTAAAGCATGCAAATTGAAGCCACTATAAAGATTATACGCAATGTCACCGAACCCAGCAGTCAGTATTGGCGGTTAGGTATTTTATTTTAAAACATTTCCTTAGGAAAAAAGATAACTCTATTGTTTTTATGGAAATGTTTTTACTACCTGTAAAAAATCGACCAAGCATTAAACATTTTAAGTTTCACTACTTATTTAACTTAAAATTGTGTTTTCAGTTTGGAAAGTATTTTGGAGCCCCGTTACCTGAAAATGTGGCAGAGCGAAAACACAAAGGACTATATTTAACCTGCATTAGCACTTGTATTTTTGCTGGGAAATAGCGCTGGAATTTATCCAGCGTAACGCATAAGCCCACAAAACTCTGTCTTTGCGAAGAGAGATAACGAGGTGTTGAGAATCTTAAACGCTCAAGAGTGCTTGCTTCACTTGCGTACAAACCACGCACGCACGTCCTCACCAAGGCATGTAAATAAAGCCCAAGGAAATGCAGACGTTTTTGAGCAGCCGAACGTTGTGAAATGTAATAAAAGGCTCAGACTAAGGAAAGAAGGTCTCTTCGCTTCAGCGAGTTGTCACTCTCAGCTGCGCAAAGGTCTGTTGCAGGGCCAAGGGCTTCTGATACCGTCCCTGGGTTCACTTGCTCCTGTCTTCGTAAGGGTTTGGTCGCTGGTTTGGGTCACACGTCCGTGCGGTGGTCCTCAGAGACAC